GTAAGCCAGTGACTTCGTGCCTTTATCACCCCCTCATTTTAGGTAGCCAATAATATGCCACCTCTTGAAATGGTTGAATGTCTACTGTTTTTTTGATACAGTGACTGTGTATCAAAATTTCATCTTCTTTTGATGCTTTCTGTATCATTCACTATTTTCCCATAGAACCTTCAACATTACAAGTTGAAGCTTGAATTTTTTCTTCAGTTCCCTCAGCCTGAGAAATGCTGAGTGTGTTCTTCTCTTTTGGTTTTCAAACTTCAGGTCTTTACATATAGTTCATTGTAATATTTGACTTTATCTTCTTGAGCTTCCCTTTGAAATGTTCTATTCAGCTCTTTTACCTCCTCATTTTTCCTATTTGCTTTAGCATCTCTACGCTGGAGAGCAAGTTTCTGATGTCTTCTGACATCCATTTTGGTCTTTTCCTTCCTTCTTGTTTTCTTAATGACTTTTGCTTTCTTCCTGTATGATGTTTTTGATGTCATCACACAACTCTCTGGTCTTCAGTTATTTGTGTCTAATTAATCAAATCTGTTCTTCAGATGATCTCTAAATTCAGGTGGGATATATTCAAGGTCATATTTTGGCTCTTGTGGACTTGTTTTAATTTTCTTCAGCTTTAGCTTGAACTTGTATATGCGCAATTGATGGTCTGTTCCACAGTCTACCCCTTGCCACAGATGTAGTTAATTTGACTTCTGTGTATTCTATCTGGTGATGTCCTTGTGAACAGTCATCTTTAATGTTGTTTTAAAAAATTGTGCAATGAAGAAGTCATTGGTTTCCAAAATTCTATCATGTGAACTCCAGCATTGTATCTATCACCAAGGCCATATTTTACAACTACTGCTCCTTCCTCTTTGTTTCCAACATTTTCATTCCAGTCATCAATAATTGTCAATACATTTTGATTGCATGTTTGATCAATTTCAAACTGAAGTTGGTAGAATTCTTCAGTTTCATCATCATTGGCTTTAGTGGTTGGTGCATAAATTTGAATAATAGTTGCATTAATTGCTCTTCTTTGTAGGCATATGGATATTATTCTATCATAGACAGCTTTTCTACTTCAAGATAGATCTTGAAATGTTCTTTTTGATGATGACTGTGATGGCATTCCTCTTTAATTTTTCATTCCTGGCATAGTAAACCATGTGATTGTCAAATTCAAAATGTCCATTTCAGTTCACTAATGCTTAGGATATCGGTGTTTATGCATTTCCTTTAAATTTTGAGAACTTCCAATTTCCCTAGATTCATAGTTCATACATTCTATGTTCCAATTATTAATGGATGATTGTAGCTGTTTCTCGTCATTTTGAGTTGCACCCATCAGCAAATGAAGATCCCGAAAGCCTTGGTCAATTTGTGTCATCATGCTCCACTCTAGTTTGAGGAGGCAGCTTTTCCCCAGTCATATTTTGACTGCCTTCCAACCTGAAGGGCTCATCTTCTGGCACTACATCTGATGATATTCTGATAGTATTCATCATTTTTCAATATTCTTGTGTTGTCTGACAGTGTTCCACTGTTATTCATAAGATTTTCAGTGGCTAAACATTCAGAGTCCTGATGTGGTATTGTGGATTAATGCGCTGGACTGCAAAGTCATTTGAACCACAAGGTCAGCAGTTCAAGCTCACCATCCACTCCTTGGAAACCTTACACAGAGTCGCCATGGGTCATAACTGACTCGTCGGCACTTAACAACAACAACAACAACAACAACAAACATTCAGAAATCATCAGCCTATCTTTCCTGATGTTAGTCTGGAAGCTCAGCTGAAACCTGCCCATCATGGTTGACCTGTTGGTATTTGACCCCGTTGGCATAGCTCCCAGAATCACATTAACATGCAAGCCACCACAGTATAGTAAACTGACAGACTAATGGTGGAAGGAATAGTAGAGGAGGATTTTAATTTCTTCATGCCTGACTCCTGGACAATTTCTCTGCTCACATGTTGGTATTAGTTGCTATCGTGGTGATACGGACTGATGGTGACCCCAGGTGCACAGAGTAGAACTGCTATATGGGGTTTTCCAGGACGTGAACTTTTCAAAGCAGACCAGGCTTGTCTTCCTATGGTTGGTTTTAACTGCCAACTTTTTGACTAGTATTTGAGTGCTTAGCTATTTGCTCCACCCAAGGACTTCCAAGATCAGATAGGGTTTGAAAATTTATCTCCATACAAGACCTTAGTAGTTTCTCCTAGTCAAGCTACAAGCCAATTTCTCAAGACATCAGATTGCTCCATCTCTTAATTTTAAAGCTAATATCAAGTTTCTGGGTGTGTTCTCCTGGCAATCCATACTTGCACATGATTCTATGCATTGTTTATGGCAGTCTGTATGATTTTTCCAATAATGCATTTATTCTTGTCATCCTCATGCTTCAGCCCACTCCCTGTGCATATGATGCAATCCTAACGTCGATTTTAGGCCCACAGTGCTGCCTTTTTCTCTTTCTTACTCCTTTCTCTTGGTTTCTAGGAAGCGCTAAGCTCTTTCTTGCTTTAATATGCCTATTATTTGCCTATTATAATATGCCTATCATATGCCTATTATTTACCCAAAGGAGTTCTGTCCTATGAGTCAATTCACTTGGAACTACCTTTCTTGATTTATCCCATATTCCAAAATTATCTCTTTGTTCCTTTGCTTTAAAACCTTTGCAACTTTTCCTTCTGCCTTAAATGCTTTCCCCTTTGTGTCCTGCCTCATTCTCTCTTTACTTCCTCATTTTTGAGGTCCCATTTTATAAGCTGTTCTTCAAAGGAACCCTTCCTGTCCACCCAGTTAGAAGTAGGTTGTCTCTGTAAATCATAGTCTTGTGCATTACAAACATAACTTTATTATAACTTGCATTAAAATTTTTGTTTCTTTACTGGTCATTTGTCTCCCCCATAAGGCTGTAAACTCCATGAGAACAGAGACCATGTATCATTTACCTGCCTGTGCATACCCAGTGCCCAGCCCATAGTACATACTCAATAACTACTTGTTGAATGGATGGAAGAGTGAGTATTACTAGCGTCTTTTTGCATTTATTGTTATTTATTGTTGATTTCTTAGATTTCCTGTCCTTCATCTACTAGAGAGATGAAATCCATTGCCAGAATAAAAAGAATATATTATGGGGTAAGTATTTTAATAAAAATAAATATGAAAAAAATTTCAAATTTTTAAATATGAAATATATCTGCATTTATATATGTACTTTGTCTGCAGATAGGAAGTAAAGGAATCTACAAAGCCATCAGTGAACTGGATATCCTTCTTTCCTGGATTAAAAACTTCCTGGAAAGCATTATATTTTGAAATCCTATGAGAATCACCAGAAATAAATTTCTAACAGTATATTTCTTCTTAATAATTCTGTGCAAATATTGACAGAAATTAAGTGATTCCGAATCAACTAGAAGAATTTAATACAATAATGTTTTGGAAACAAGTAACTTATCATTATTATGTGCATCATTTGTATTTTCAAGAAATATTCCCATCCTGACTATGTTTTGTTATCCACAAGTACATTGTATGAATGTAACATTTGTAGAGGGAAGATAGCAGATTTATGGTATTGAGATACAGGTTGATTTTATGAATATGATTATTTGTCTGCTTAATGATTTGATGTACATTAAATAGGTCTAGAACGAATTTAGCTCTTAGCAGACATTAATTTCAATAAAATAAAATAAACTGTGTTTCTTTTCCTTGGATGTCTTTTCATGACAGTATGCTAGAATTTCACTGAAGTACAATGGGTAATAACCAGGTCAGATCAAATAGGACACACAAGCAGTTTGAGTGATTTACAGGGAATGTCTTTGTTTGATAATCCAAGCCACAAAGACCACAAGTAACCAAAGTTGAAATGATGTGGACGTTTGATAATGCTGTTTCTGTGTGCTCTATGTACAGTACAAAAAATTGATAACGAGTGAATAAATAAATGCAACTCAGAATCCATCACTGTAAACATGTCTTTCTGTCTAAAACTTTATGTGGACAACTAACCCTTTAGTATAATGAGTGATATGGCATGGCCACATTACTGTTTCAAATGGACTTTGTTTTCCGGCTGTCATACCAGGTATGAACAACTTCTGGTAGCCAGCCACATTCACTTTCACATGTTGCACCTGGTACTGACTGGGTGTTCAATGGTATGAGCTGGTAGGACTTCTCCAAGACCTTCACTGATTTGGCTCTTGCCGAATCTTTGTTTTACTTTCTCACTCTTCAATTTTTCTTTTTAATCATTTGCCTATTACTTACCCAAAGGAGCTCTGTCTTATGAGTCAACTCACTTGGAACTACCTTTCTTGATTTATCCCATATTCCAAAATTATCTCTTTGTTCCTTGCCACATCCCACACCCCCCACAACCTCTTTTTTTTTTTTTTTTTTTACTTTCCCATCAACAACGTACTGTGGTCTCAGATCTTATCTCTATTGGAGGATTTATTATTAGAAAAAATCACAGGAAGTAAGAGGTGCAGTGGGCAGGAGGGAATTGGTGAGGGCAAGACTGGAGGACTCTGTCTTTATCCTGTGCTGCAAATCCAGAGCTTCCTAGGGCCATCAGTGGCTAGGCAGCCTTCCTCCTTGAGGAATATTTGGAAAACTAGAGCTGGGATTTGAGGAATCATGAACCTGTTCCAAAGGACCAGAGAGGAGACAGGACACCCATGGTCTCTTGTTGCCCTACTTCATTTGAAAGTTAGTGTTTTTCAGGAATAAGTACTACTCATAGCTCAGTTTGAATGTGCTGAACTTCCAGAGTCCAGAGTCTCTGGTCTTGCTTACAAATCATCCAAAGCTGCTCCATTACTTAGGTGTCAAAGGGACAGCAGAACAGTCACTTTTCTGTCAGCAAAGACGCCTTTATTATATCAGCTTTGGTCCTTATGGATAAAATTCCACCTGTCAGCCCCAGTATTTTGCGTGATTGAACTCAATATTTTTTAAATGTGGTTTGTTTCTCAAATTCTTTGCTTTTCCTAGTTAATAGGTTGCGAGACTCAGCAAGAGCAATGTTGTTATTGTTTTTATATACTGTGGAGTTGGTTCTGATGCTTAGTGACCCTATCTAAGGTTTCTGAGGAATGACTGGTGGATTTGAACCATTGACCTTGTGGCTCAAACCGACTTTGCGGTCCAGTGCATTATCCTACTTCTCCACACCCAGACTCCAGCAGGAGAAATAGAGTGTTGTAATCGACTGGTGCTGCTGTAATAGAAATACCATGAGAGCTCTAAAGAACAGCAACTGGTTTTCTCACTGTTCTGGAGGCTACAGTCAAAATGAGGGTCTCAGCCATGTTGATTCCTTCTGTGAGCCTCTTGTAGTTTCTAGTATTTGCAGGGGATTCTTGATGTTCCTTGGTGCTTCTTGGAATATATCTTCTTCCTGTGAGTGTGACTCTGTGTGTGTCTAGTTTGGTCCTTTCATAATTCAAAAATTCTTAGGTTTATGATCCACCCTATAATTATAAGATGTCAACTGAATCTTGGCTGAAAGCAGAGAACACCAGAAAGATGTTTTCCTGTGCTTTATTAACTATGAAAAGGCTTTTGATTGTGTGGATCATGACAAGCTGTGAACAATGTTGCAAAGGATAAGTGTTCCGAAACACTTAATTCTGCTCATGAGGAATGTGCACATAGACCAAGAGGCAGTTGTTCGAACAGCACATGGGAACACTGAATGTTTTAAAATTAGTAAAAGTGTGTGCCAGGGCTGTATTCTTTCACCATACTTATTCAACCTATATGCTGAGCAAATAATCTGAGAAGCTGTGTTATATGAAGAAAAATGTGGCATCAGTGTTGGAGGAAGACACGTTAACAACCTGTGATATACTGATGATACAACCTTGCTTGCTTAAAGTGAAGAGGACATAAAATACTTACTAATGAAGATCATAGATGATAGCCTTTGGTATGGATTGCAACTCAAGGTAAAGAAAACAAAAATCCTCACCACTGGACCAATAAATAACATTAAAAAAAAAATAACATTCTTATCAATGGAGAAAAGATTGAAATTGTCAAAGATTTCATTTTTCTTGGATCAAGCATCAACACTCATGGAAGCAGCAGCCAAGAAATCAAACGACGTATTGTATTGGGCAAATCTGCTGTACAAGATCTTTTTAAAGTGTTGAAGAACAAAGATGTCAGCTTGAGGACTAAGGTGCACCTGACCCAAGTTATGGTATTTTAAATAACCTCATGTGCATGTGAAAGTAGAACAGTGAATAAGGAAAATCAAAGAAGACTTGATGCTTTTGAGTTATGGTATTGGAGGAGAATATTGAAAGTGCCATGGGCTTCCAAAATAGTACACAGATCTGTGTTGGAGGAAGTGCAGCTAGAGTGCTCCTTCTAGGCCAGACTATACTTTGAACATATTGTCAGGAGAGACCAGTCACTAGAAAGGGATATCATGTTTGGTAAGGTGGGGTCAGCGAAAAAGACGAAGACTCCCAGTGAGATGGATTGGCAAAGTGGGAGCAACAATGGGCTCAAGCATGGCAACAACTGTGAGGTTAGCCTAGGACCAGGCAGTGTTTTGTTCTGTTGTGCATAGGGTCGCTATAAGTTGGTACTGACTCAATGGCACCTAACAACAACAACAGTATTTATTACATAGAACAAGATCCTATTTCTACAAATAGGATCACATCCTGAGTTATGTTATTGCAGTTCCTGTTAGGTGCCATTGAGTCAGTTCTGACTATGGCGATCCTATGAACAGCAGAATGAAATACTGCTCGGTCCTGCACCATTCTCACAATTGTTATACTTCAGCCCATTGTTGCTGCCACTGCACCAATCTATCTTGTTAGGGATCTTTCTCTTTTTCATTGACCAAGTGTGATGTCCTTCTCCAGGGACTGATAACATGTGTGAAAGATGATGTCTTGCCATCCTGACTTCTAAGAATTACATTCTGGCTGTGCTTCTTCCAATATTGATTTGTTTGTTCTTCTGGCAGTCTATGGTACTTTCATTATTCTTCTTCAACACCATAATTCAAATGGATCAGTTCTTCTCTGGTTTTAATTATTCATTTAAAAAAAATTATTGTGAACTGAGTGATAGTTTACATGGGAAAACATCAGCTTTACACTCATCCTATCGTATTTCATTTCATTGCAATGACTACAATCCCCTCCGTGCATCATCATTCAATAGCATTTGCTTCCATTCCCTCTGGTTTTTTTTTTTTTTTTTTTTTTTGATGTACACTGAAACACTCAGAAATATATAATCATTCAAACAACCAAAGGGCATACCCTGCAAGCCTGCTCCCCGGCCACAAGCACACATCCCCTTTCCTCCATGAGTCTAGTGTCCCCAGCTGTTCCATCTCTCCACGTCCATCATCTCTGCTTCCATCTCTGGTGTCGCTGTTTCTCTGGATAGGGTCCCACACTCCACTTTTCTCCCCCTGGACTGTAAGATCAACCACTCCCCACCTTTTGTTACAAAATATCTACCTTTACATTTACAGCAATTTCAATCAGTCCTGGTAACAATTACTCACTATTGAACCACAAGAGTCTTATCCCCATCTCCTTTCACCAGCCCCATCTGTTGTTGTTGTTGTTGTTGTTAAGTGCCGTCGAGTCGGTTCCGACCCATAGCGACCCTGTACAGGGTTTCCGAGGCTGTAAATCTTTACGGGAGTAGAAAGCCTGATCTTTCTCCCGCGGAGCAGCTGGTAGTTCAGAACCGCTGACCTTAAGGTTCGCAGCCCGATTTGTAACCACTAGGCTACCAGAGCTCCTTCTAGACAGGTTGAAAACGACTCAGTGGAGAGTCTACCTTCCCCTGCATCCTGTGAAACCAAGCTCCCTCTTGAAAACTTGTAAGCCAGTCACTTCGTGCCTTTATAGCTCCTCCATTTTAGGTAGTAAATGTCTAAGTTGCCCATCCCTGTTACCCCTGTTTACAGAGGGCATGGGAATGGTCCTTACTGTGAAGATTTGTTCCCTCTTTTAAGCTGCTATGTCCGTAAGTATAGATCAGGTCTTACTTATTCATTATCTAACTTTTACAAGAATGGGGCAATTGAAGATACCAAGACTTGGGTCAGGCACACCTTAGTCCTCAAAGTGATATCTTTCCTTTTGAGAAAATTAAAGAGGGTCTATGCAGCAGATTTGCCTAATGCAATACATTGTTTGATTTCTTGACTGCTGCATCCATGAGTGTTAATTGTGAACTGAAACAAAATGAAGTCTTTGACAACTTCAGTATTTTCCATGTATCATGCTATTATTGATTAGTCCAGTGGAGGATTT